GGCAAGTTGTTCATTAGCCCAGCGGGACCCCCCGGGGGTCACCCCCCGCCCCCCCCCGGTTACTGGTTATCCCGGGCGGCCGGGCTGACGCGGCACTGGGAGCGCTGGCACCGTGGCGGAGGGCACCGGGAGGGGAATGGCCCCGCGTCCCCCCCTTGGCCGGGGGCTCTCCCAGTGCTGGGACACCAGGACAGCGGGGACAGGGGGACGGGGCCACCGGGGCGAGCAGGGACAGCGGGGACAGGGCACCAGGACCAAGGCCACCATGGCTGGGGACACCAGGACCAAGGGCAACTGGGTAAGGGACACAGGGACAGGGACACCAGGGGACAAGGCCACCATGACCAAGGCCACCATGACCAGGGACACCGGGGACAGGGAGAGCGGGGACAGGGACACTGGGGTCAGGGACACCATGGCTGGGGACACCAAGACCAAGGACAACTGGGTAAGGGACACGGGGGCAGGGACCCGGGGACAGGGACACCAGGGGACAGGGACACCATGGTCAAGGCCAGCATGACCAGGGACACCGGGGACAGTGATGCTGGGACCAGGGACACCACCATCAGGGACATCCTGGCCAAGGCCACTGTGGTCAATGACACCGTGGCCAGAGACACCGGGGACAGGGACACCGGGGCGAGCAGGGACAGCGGGGACAGGGCACCGGGACCAAGGCCACCATGGCTGGGGACACCGGGACCAAGGGCAACTGGGTAAGGGACACAAGGGCCAGGGACACGGGACGGGGACACCAGGAGCCAGGGACACCAGGGTCAGGGCCATCATGGGCAAGGCCACCATGGCCAGTGTCACCATGACCAGAGACACCGGGGACAGGGACACTGGGGTGAGCAGGGTCAGCAGGGACAGGGACACCGGGTCCAAGGACACCTGGATAAGGGACACAAGGGACAGGGACATGGGGACAGGGACACGGGGACAGGGATACCATGGCCAAGGCCACCATGACCAGTGCCGCTATGACCAGAGACAGCGGGGACAGGGACGCTGGTGCTGGGGACACCATGATCAAGGCCACCAGGATCAGGGACAATGAGGCCAGGGATGTTGGGACCAGGGACAGTGGGGTCAGGGCCACCATGGCCAAGGCCACCATGACCAGTGACACCAGGGACACCAGGGACAGGGATATGGCACCAGGGACGCCGGGGCTGGGGACGCCGGGGCTGGGCTCCAGGCCCTCCCAAGGGGCCAGGGCTGTGGTGGCACTGGTGCTGATGGGACAGGGACAGGAGGGGACGGAGGGTGGCACCAGCGTGAGCGGGATGAAGCCACGGGAGGGGAATGGATCGGGGCGGGGAGCGGTGGGCTCCAACTGGGACGGGGTCGGGGACGGGACTGGGCTGGCTGGGAGCAGGGTGACACCGAGGACGGGACCGGGGATGGATGGGGACGAGGACGGGGACGGGGACCGGGACAGGGACGGAGCAGGAAGGGGGCTGGGACCGGCGGGGTGGGACCAGGACCGGCCTGGGGACGTCGGGGGTGGAGCGGGGGACACTGGGACAGGGCAGGGGACACTGGAGATCAGACTGGGGACACTGGGAAGGTGGCAGGGGACACTGGGACAGGGCACGGGACACCAGGATGGAGCAGGGGACACTGGGACGGGGCAGGGGACTCCAGGGACCAGCCTGGGGACACTGGGGAGGGGAAAGGGGGCACTGGGACGGGGCAGGGGACACTGGGGACCGGCCTGGGGGCACTGGGGAGGTGGCAGGGGACACTGGGACAGGGCAGGGGACACCAGAGACCAGCCTGGGGACACCAAAGAGGTGGTAGGGGACACTGGGGACCAGCCTGGGGACACCAGAGGTGGGGCAGGGGACACCAGGACAGGGCAGGGGATACTGGGATGGGGCAGGGGACACTGGGACCGGCCTGGGGTCACCGGCACCGGCGCGGGGACGCGGGGTCGGAGCAGGGGACCCGGGCGGGGGCTGTGGGCGGAGCCCCAGACCCCACCTCCCTCGTGGGCGGGGCCTGGCCGCGCCCCCCCGCGCGCCATTGGTCGGCGCGGAGACGGCCCCGCCCACCCCCACCAAGATGGCTGCGCCCGGCTGCCACGTGGGGGCCCGGGTCCGGTGGGCGGGGGGGCCC